TTAAAAAAAAAAAAAAAAGAATAAAGATTTCATTAGAGGTAGAAATATGGATTCTTTAGCTACAATTCTTCCTTTATATATTATTATGCAGTTCAATCCCTTTTTGTTCTCTCAATATCACAACATTCACACATTTAATTCTTTTCTACAAGTTGCTCCTTTTTCATTCCTTCTACCTGAATTTATACTCAGTCCACCGATTCTTGAAGCTCTCTCCCCTCAGCTGGGCACAGCCAAGGGACCCTAATATTGGCAGTTGCAAAGATCTTCTCCAAGAAGCCCTCTGGGTCTGAATATTTTGGACTGTCCTCCTGCCTTGGGGTAGCTGCCTGATTCTTCCTGCTGCCCCCATCAACCAGGGGATGCCTTGACCTGCCATCCTTCCTATTGACCTCAGAGTGTGGGAAAGACTGGGATCCCACATCCCCTTTCCTTAACAGTCAGATTCAAAGGAAAAAAAAAACATGAGAGAACTTCTATGATCTCACATTTAAATTTCAGATACAGGTGGTGCTCAGTCATGACCACTCATTCACCCAACATTTAAACTTCTGGTGGCAGAGAATGAGGGGGACTTGAAATGGGTCCAAAGAGTTCTGGATGTTGCAGAGTCCCTGCAGTTACATGATCACGAATTCTGACATTTCCCTGCAGCTTCCCACAAGGAAACTCAATGGGGAAGTCATCAAGCAGTTGGAAGTCATGGTCATGCCAAGTCCTCACTGAATGACCAGCATTGTCCTCACTTATTGATAGCAACTAGGACTGTCAGAACTGCCGTTGTTAAGCGACACAGTCTTTTGTCACTATGTGGCATAGTGCTATATGGTCACTTAGCAACAGCAATTCCAGTCCCGACTGACATTGTAACCCGAGGACTACCTGTATGCGACTCAGGAAAAGGAGCACCACAATTTTCATATTGCATAGCAAGATCTGTATTTCCTCAAATATAAACCTGCTCTTTATGTATTAAGAATTCAAGAGGTCTTTCTTCACTCCGATAAAGCCTTGCACATAATCTCAAAATTGTTGCAAAGAAATTGATAATATGAATGGAGAGAGTGACTCTTTTATGCAAATATTATCCAATTTTCTATTGTCCCTTGACTTATACAATTCTATTCCAACTTGAAGAATTCCCGATGATACATTCATCTTTCTCAGTCCACTGAGAGAATGCTGGTTATTCATGGATTTCTTGATTTTGACTATGTGTCTTGCGGGCACCCAACTATTGTGTTTTGCATATCCTTCTTAACTGCTTAGCCTACATTGCCTGAATTGTGGATTTATCAACACACCCTAGTTAAAGAAAAGTCTCTCTTAGTTCTTGTTTTTAAATCAAATATGCCATCCCATTCTGTCTTTAACATACAGTAGCTATTAAATAATTCTTGTGGGGTGCTTATCTATTTTTATTTCAAAATTTGAAATAGAACATGCACAATTTTTATTTCCTTTGCTGTGAATCTGCACTTCATTTATTTAACAATTAAGAATACTATATCCATGGATTTTAGGATTTGCTCATTGTCTCAAAAGGAAATGGGGAAGGTCAATGCACCAGTTGCTTCTTATATCCTGAGCACTATGTATTGTCAGATCCAACTTTGGGTTTAATTGAGCCATAGAAAATGGCTAAATAGGTCCCAGGGAGATGAAATTCATCCAGGCAAAGTAGAATAAACTTTGAATATATAATGAAAAATAACTGAAGATAAAATTCTGCTTTTCTCCTAGTCTCATGCTGATCGAAACCATAGTGATCCATTGTAACTGAATGATACAAGATGGACAAGAAATGAGAAGAATTATTCCTTATCAAAAGGAAACAGAAAGAGAAGAGTTAGCCCACGGTTATCCTTCGTTACCTTGAATTGCTTTCCAGAAGTGCTGACATTTTGCAAGCCCTTGCAAGCCTTTGAAAGTAAACCAGCCCTTTCTCTTATGTCCTCATAGAATAGTGAGAAACATGCCTGTCTTGAGAGTTTCCCTAGGACTGGAACATTATTGGAAAATGATGTAAATCAGCTGTGTGCAAAGAAACCTATCAGGTCAATACACTGAGGGGCTCTTTTATACCAACAGATATGTAAATTGAGGCACCATTTCCTCTTTAAAGGAGCTCCATGGTTTCCATTTTCAGGCTACATCCACCAACACAAAGTTTGTGCATTTTCCCAAATCCTCTACTGTCAATTCCCTCCATTCACTAGAGGGAGCAAAAATGATCCTATGGCTAAAACCGATATCCTTAGTAGCAATCCTCAGAGAAAATTCTGCCCTCCATAGAGAGTGTCTCTCCATTTTCTGTTTTTCTATGCAGGAGATCTCATTTAAAAAATATATATATTTCCAGGTTTCCAATGTGATGTCCAGTTGGTGGAGTCTGGAGGGGATCTGAGAAGACCTGGATATTCTCTCAGTCTCTATAATCAATAGCACATGAACTCTGAATTCATCAACTCACCATATTTATAGAAAAATATCGCATATTTTTTCTTTTGAAATCACCTAGGCCATCCCATTCTGTCTATATCGTAGCTATTAAATAATTATTGGTGGGTGCTTTTCAATCTTACTGTCAAGATTTGAAATGACACATTAACAATTACTTGCTTTATTTCCTTCATTTCCACAAAGTATGGCTTTAACTCAGAGTAAAGGTTTTGTGGTCAGAAATGAGCAAGGTAAATAGGAATGGACTTGTTATGCAGAGTGCAGCTATAATCACAGTTCATGCTAAAAATACACACCAGCATTAGAGAGATTTAAAGAATGCAATGTCCTTATCTTGTTCTCCAA